GGGGCCAGGGGGGCCAGTGGCCACGGGAGCATCGGGGGGGGCCCGTCAGCACGTGGGAGGTCCTGCTGCCCCATCCTGCTGCCACCCAGCTGGATTCTTCATTCTCTCACCCCACAGTGATCCTCCGGGACAGCCCTGCCCTGCAACGGCACCACGCAAAGCAGGGAGCCCGTGAGGCTGGTGGCACAGGGCAAGGTACCAGGTGGGGCCAATTTGGCATGGGTATGAAACAGGTGCAACCACAAGCTAAGGGAAAGCAAGGTTTGCTTTGGAGAGGCTGCTGGGATGCTGATGAAGGAAAAGCCATGCTCTGGGGAGAGCCATGTGTTGGGCACAGACTGGTCATGCTGCAGGCAGTAAGAGTTTATGGGTTAGAGGTGCTGGCTGCTGCTGAAGTTAAATGAAAACCTGGCTAGTACCTGTTTGAGAAATTTCTGGCTTTTTCTTTATGTTTTTCTCTGCCATGCAGCAGCCTGGTGAGCCAAGCTTGCCACTACGGGGTGCTCGTGCAATGGAGACGGCGGGTTGCCTCTGCGCCCTGCACTTTGGGGATGCCCGTCATGAGCATGTGCAGCTTGTTTTAGGGGGGCTAAAAAATAATAAGCATAGGGAACTGGAAAAAATGAGCTTTTCTAGGTATAGGTTGAGCTGTGTGTGGTCGGTGTTAGACTTTCATTTGCATCCTGCCAGTGGCTGAGAGGATGGATGGATAGATGGAGGTCCACCCCAAGGCTGGCTGGGCTGATTGTGGTGGTGTTTTGAATGCAATCGGCATTTATCTCAAGCCAAGACCTTTCTGCTGTTACAGCCCAGTGTGGCAGTATGTGTGGGAGCACAGAGGGAGCTTTGCTGGGAGCAGCAGCCCCGGGGCCAGAGCCTGAATTTGCAAGTGAAGGTGGGAGATGGAGAGCTGCAAGGTCCAGCAGAGCCAGGGCAAGATGAGGTGTCCTGCTGGGCAGCAAGAGCTGTTTGCCTAAAAATAGGGTTCCCATCACTGCAGTGCTTCCAAGGGAGGTGATTTTTATTCTGGGAAGATGGTCAGCGGGGGCCTGGCACCCAAATACTCAGCCCTGCTGAGCACACACCAGCCCCACGCTCTCCTGAACAGGGCTTTGCTGTATGAATCATCACACTTTAACATGTATTATTATTTTCAAAATTTTTTTTTCTCCCTCTCTTCTATTTTTAAACCCTTAAGGGTGCGCTTTGATTATGCTTTCTCAGCTTCTCGCTCAGCCCTCAAAGCCGGGGCCCTGTTAATTTTAAACAAAAGCTGAGATTTTCGCATCACCAGATTGGGGGTGCCAGGCAAGCGGGGTAGGCAGAAGTAGCAGGCAGGGGTTTTTCTGTTGTCCCCCCCACTGTTTTTCCACGTATCACCCTGGTTTCTCTCAGCCTTGCAGGCAGCTGCATAATGCTCTGGTCGTTGCCTCCTGCTCCTGGCATGTGGAATCCCCTATGGCCATGACGTGGCCAAATCCTGGCCCAAACGAATGGGGCCGCGTGCCAGGGTGGGCAGGGGTTTTGGGACCAGCGATGTCAGGCTGGTTTCCTTGCTCCACACCTCGAGGGTTGGAGGGGGCATCCCCCCAGCCCAAAACATGGCAGGACCCAATGCCGGCTGCTCACAGAACTGCTCGTGCGCTGCCACGTGTGGGTGATGGCTGAGCAGCTGAGGCACTTCGGCTGCTCTGAAATCCTCCCTGTCTGCTTCCCTGCCTGCAACCAAAGCTGGGCCAGGGGGAAGCAAGCAGGTGGGATGCTGTGGCTGTCTGAAGCAGGCAAGCACCTTGCTCTCCTCCCCAACAATATCCACAGATGCAATTAAAATTGAGGTGGCCTGGTGACCAAAGGAGCACTCGAGGATCAGGATTAAACCCTCCTGGTCCCCTGCTGCCCTGCAGACTGTGAATCCTGTTGCTGCGCTGTACGGCGTGACCCAGGGAGCTGGGACAAGCTGCCGTGCCCGGGAGGGCATGGTGGGAGCCAGGGCCTGGCAGTGAATCCTATGGATGGTTTAGATGCTGACCACAGGCTAAGCCCTCTGTGACAGGGAGGAAAGCAGCGCTCCTGAGGTGAGAGCACTCCTTTGAGCAGCATTTCTCTAAACCCTGCTCATGGAAACACTCTGCTTGCAGCGTTAAATATGGCTGTGCCAGCAAAACACCTTGCTTAAATAGCCGGCGCGCTAGGTAGCTTGCCTGTTGCACCACAAATGGGCTTGGCACTGCCAATCTCCTTAGCCTCTGTCATTGTCTATAGCTTTTAGGTGGCTCCTGACCACCCCAGCTGAGGTGTGGCTGGGCTGGGGGGCAGGGGCTGCTCCCTGGCTGGTCCCCTCTCCCTCCTCCTGGGTCTGTACAGCCAAGGGGATGCTTTTCCATGAGCACCGTGGGAGACTGGCCTCATCCATCGCCACTTCACACCACCACAGACTGGTATGGACGGTCTCACACCAGTCACCCCGCTGCCCTCCCCGAGGCTTTCTTGGTGTAAATCAGGAGGACATGGAAGCATCCTTCCTTTGATTTGGAAGCGCGGAGGGGATTTTTTGGGGGGACCACACAGAGCACTGTCTCTTCCAGCAAACCATCCTGAGTGCTAACAGCTTCCCACCAGCACTGACCTGTCCCTTGCTGCTGCTGCCACCACCACATGGGGCACCCCCATGTGCCTTCCCTGAGAGGGGCTCCCTGTGCTGTCCTTCCCCTCCAAACCCACTCTCCCACCTCCCATTCCAGCACCACAGCTCAAGGCAGCAAACCTCCTCTGGGTGACCATCATGCGGACAGGTATTAGGGATGGAGCCACCTTAGGGCACCTCTTCCCTTGGGCTGCAGTCCCTGGACTAGCTAGAAACCATTTCAGCCTGCTCTGCTGCCTTCCCTAGGGAGCTTGTTCTGAGATTTAAGGCTTAGTATGGGATGTTTCCTTGCGGCCATCTCATGTTTTACTGCGGAGCAGCAAAAATAGTCAGAATCGGGTATTTCCAGCACTTGGCTGGTACAAATCCAGCAAAGGTCCCCACCTGGTGTGCAGAGTCCCTTAAAGCAGCAAACTTTCCAGTCTTGCTAAATGAGCTCTTATTTACACCTGCCTCTTATTTACACCATGGTTGCTGACACCTCTGAGCCAAGCTCTTGCTTGGGGACAGGTGCTGACGCACACGAGCATCCTTGCCAACAGAAACTTGAAGTCCCCAGTCAAGCAGGAACGGGCAAGCCACCGTGGGCAGGAGAGCCTGCACTGGGGCTGCACTAGGTTACATGGCAAGCTTATCCCCAAGGAGCAGCTTTCTTGCACCATCGTTAGCTGGGCTAATTTATTTGCTTGTATCAATCAGGGGTTATATAAAATAAGTACATGCAGAAATGGCTATAGTCCATATAGTCCTTAGCCCACACAGCTCTGTGTGTGTGGGCTCTGGTTTTGCTGGGGGGCTGCTGCCACTGCTCTGCAGGATTGGGGGCAATGCTTATTGGGGTGCACCTCTGCCTGCTCACACCAGCATCCTGCTGGGATGCCAGGGAGAGCAAAGCTCTTTGGAAATGAGTAACCCCCTTGACCTTACTACTAGAGCTGGAAATAATTTTCTAATCGCTTTTCCTTGATCCAAAAGAATGAAGACTTGATGAGAAGCATCTGACTACTCCTTTTTTCTTTCTTTTTGATTTAGGTTTTGCATCACAAAAGTTGGCAAACTTCCAGCTTGTTAACTTTTTTCCCCCTTCCCCCTTCTATAAAAACCTTAAACCAAAGAAAGAAGAGTGCCAATGCAAATGTTCTTGGCAAACCTTCCCAGGACCACATCCTCCTTCCTGGCCAAGTCCTCCTAATCTTGTTGCAGCCCTCCATGTCCATGTTGCCTGCAGCAGAACACCGTGGTGTCCCTCCAGTGACAGCCAATGCATGGCCCAGACTGTCACTTGTCACAAGCTGCATCTTAAAAATAGCTCGTTGCAATTTCTAGAGGTGCCTTCCCACCCTTAGGCTTGAGATGGCAATGGGATTGCTTCTGCAGTGGGAGCCTTCATCCAAAACGGCTCAAGAGACCGAGGCAGGATGGTGTGAGGTGTGGATGGGGATGCTTGTGTGTCCGGTGAGCAGCTCTGGTGAGCTGCAAAAGCCTTTCTCTATTGCCCTTGGAGCTGATGGTGACAGCAGCAACATCCTGCAGAGTTATGCTGAGGTCCTGCTTGCTTCCATGCCGACGGCATCTCCGGAGCCACACGCTCTACCACTAATCAGGCTGAGTTCGATAATTAAGACATTAGCTAATTGTCAGGGACATTAACATTGATTTCTGCCCTTTCATGCTGCAGGAGCCGATCTAGAGATACAAAAACTGCAAAGTATGCGCTGGGGAGAGGCTGCAGTGGTATTTGCTGGGTGCCGTGGGGAAGCACGGGACTCTGGACAGACTCTGGCACTACCCCTTGTAAATGCTGAGCCAAAGCCTGGAGCAAAAGCAGCACACGATGTCTGTGCCAGGCAGAGCGATACCTGTTGGTGGCAGAGCTGTGGAATGTGCCCAGCCACAGAGGGCTGGTCCCTGGGGCACGGTGGGAGCAAATGCACATCCGTGCAGGAGCAGGGAGCGATGGGGATGGGCCTTGAGCTCCCTGCAGATGCCTTTTAGTGGGAATGAACTTCAAACTTAGTGACTGAGTCACTTTCTCATTAAACATGGGAAAGCTTTATCAAATTAAGACCACTTAAAAGAGTCTGGGCAGAGGCTAAGTGCAGTTTAGTTTCTGAAGTGGATTGATTCAGCTGAGCTGCACCTATGTGAATTCACCCAGGCACCCAGGGCACCTCTTGCTCTGCCACTTGCACCCACTGCGACAGACAATCCCAAAGGGCTCAATCCTGCAGGATGCTCAGCCCCTTGCTCCAGAGCCACCAACCTCGCTTGGGGCTTCGTGGAACACAGCTCCCTTGCACCCAACCCTGCCTCTCCCTGCCTGCGCCACTGTCTCGTCTGCCCCACCCTGCTCTGTCGTGGTTTGCAATGAGCAGCTCTCAGCGTGGTGCATCGCGCTGCCAGGCTCGCATCTACATGCTCCCAAGGAAG